ATCTTGTTTTAGTTTAAAATAATTATCTCTTATTTCAGTATTATAGGTGGATTTCTACAAAATTTAAACATAGCTACAAATGGTAATTTTCTGAAAGTATTGCTACGAATGGTATATATATATATATATATGCTTGTTGTGTCACATAATTTTTCATAGTTCAATTGTCCAATATCCCAGCTATTTTAACCTTCATGCTGCTTCTACAGAATCTCCTTGAACCAGCATCCTTGTGATATTGTCCTCTGCGCTTCAAAATTTTCTGAGATTCGGGGGCTAAAGCAGCGTCTTTCTTGCATCTAGGATGATATGGGCCTTCTTATGATATTTTGATCGCTAAGAACATTGGGCAGCACTTTTGGTATTTCGAAGATTAAGGCCATGTCTTTCTCGAACTATGATATAGACCTCACTAAGATGTATTTAATCGGTTAGAATGTCAAGCAGTACTTCAGTATTTTGAGGACTGAAGCAACATCTTTTCGAACTAAGGATGATGTCGACCTCCTTATGATGTATTTGATTGCCAATAATGTCGGGCAATACTTCGATAGTTCAGATTGATCTCTCGGAAAAAATCTGTCGATCACTCTTTTATTCAATAACTATGTAGTTTTTTCTGGATTTCTCTACTCGCGCTTCGCCAACTTCGGATGCTCTCTTTAATGATGAATGATTCGAGAGAGTTATGTAACCCTCTATGTATAATTGTAGAGGATAGGCAGTCTAATTACATATGAACTCTCTTGCTTGGTTCTTTTTGACTCATGTGAGTCATCAAGTTTATCACAAAAAGGTATGTTATAGAGTTAGCATGCAATTAGCCAAGACATGTCATTTTGGATACTTGGCGGCCTGTTGGCCTTGAATTTGACTAGACATGGTAGGTCACTTTAAACATGGCTTGAACTTGGGCCTCAAGTTGAAATGAACTTTGGGCGTAAATATAATATTGTTTAATTTGTAAAGTTTAAATTAATTATTCAACCCAAATAAAACTGGATTTATGGAATTTTTACCTCCTATGGCAAAGGTTAACACCTTATTTATTTTAAATAAATACCATTTAAAAAAATTATATTCTATAGATACCTTTTAATGTTTATAGCAAAATATCAAATTTTGGTTACCTCCTACCCTTAAGCCACTAAATACGCTATTCAGTTACACTATTTTCTTTCTCTCTCTACTTTGATACATGCCATTCTCTTCCCCCATTCCCTGAAGCAATTAAAATCAATTGGGCTGCTGGTGCTAATTTTGCAATAGGAAAATCAAGAGCAGGAAAAGGAGACTACGACCCACTTGGTTTAAGCAATGAAGAAGTTAGGGTTTCATCAATCTCGTCCGTTCCGTTTGCTCACCTTTTCGATTTTTCTTAATAAAAAACTGTAGTTGTTTATTTATTGCTTCACTTTCTTAATAGTTGATAGTTGGTGCAATCTCAGCTATGGCTGGTGGAGGAAATTTCCTTCATAGAGTTATTTCTTATGTCGCCAATGAACTGGGGAATAAAGAAGAGGCTAAAAGGGAAAAGAAGAAGGTGAAAAGAAACGTTATTGTTAGAGTTGCAGCCCCAGTGACTCAGGATTTTTGCTCGACGGCGGATTCACCGGAAAATCGGGTTTGTTCTTGAACAAAGACGACGGAGTTTAGGGCTGAGCAACTTGATTTTCTATTAATATATTTCAATGTATTTTCATGTATTTCATTGTATTTATTGTATTTTTTTCATTGTAATTCAATGTATCTCGCTTTATTTCATGTATTTCATTATATTCACTATTTTTTTTCATTGTATTTCAATGTATCCCGCTGTATTCTATGTATTTTTATTTATTCACTGTCTCGCTATATGACATGAATGTATTCATATGTTTTTTTTAATTAATATAATTTATGTATTCAGATGTATTATATAATTTCTCTGAAGATTGCTATGTTTTTGGGGTATTTTTCGGTTGAGAATCTTTTTTATAACTGGAAATACAAAATTTGTGTGTTATAATTGAGTTTATTGAGTTATATTAGGAGTATATTATGTTAATTGATTCACTTTCCGTTTAAAGACAGTGTAATCCCCTGTTTCATGCCGTGAATACAGTCGAATACAATAATCTGTCCAGCTGTAATCCCATGTTTCACGCCATGAATACAGTCGAATACACTCGAATATAACAACTGATTAGCTGGACTTCCCTGATTCACGACTATTTTTGCTACTGTATTCATGAATACAATAGCTTAAATACATCTTATAACCACAGAAAAGGTATCTATAATCCGTAATATAGCAAATGGTATCTATAGATGACTAATTACTACTAAAAGATAGTGTTTTATGAAAATTTCTCATTAAATTAAACCCAAATACATGGACCTAGCAATTAATCAAATTAATTTTTTTTTTTTGTACTTACAACCAGTAAGACGGTAAGAATCATTAATTTTAAATACTTTTTACTTTTTCAAAATTAATAAATTTAAAATAAAGTTATATTACGTAATGATTTCAAAGTAATCAAATCTCTTGCGTTTTGCACTCCTAACATATATCCTCTTTTGTTATTATACCGTGTCCTATTTTTTTTTTAATGATTTGCACCCTAACCTCATTATTTTCTTGCATAATAATAAAATCGCTATTTCTTAAAATTTTCAAGAGGGCAAAATAATAAATACAAATACAAAAAAACGACATAAAACTAAAAATAACGTTTGTCTTTTTCCCTAAAAGCGCATAACACCAAAAACATTGCAACTAATATATATATATATATATATATATATATATATATATATATATATATATATATATATATATATATGCACCTGTATAATAGCATTTATATATCCCATCTTAGTAAACTATAACCATCAGCGAACACGGACACCCACTAGTTAATTTGTTTTACTTTTTTGCTAAAGATTTCGTTCAACATTCCACAATTTTATGCTCATGTTAAGGTTATATTTAACTTTGAGTAAGGTGATCTGTATAATAATATTCAGTATTATTATCTTTTTAATATTTTTTTTAGGTGTTTATTTGATAGGGGTTAATGAATTCTTGACGGGGTGCTCTTTCTAGAGAGAAAATGACCCTCTATAGCCCCTCAAAATTTTAATAGCACATATTTTTTCCCATTGACACGAAATGTTCCTCCGGCCCAAACATATTACATTTAATAGCCCGAAATATTTATTTTGTATATTTTTTGTACAGTGATAGTCTATTTTGTATATTTTTTGTATAGTGACAGTCTATTTTGTATATATGTTGTATAGTGACAGTGTATTTTGCATATATTTTGTATATTGACGGTCTATTGTATATAAATTGTATAGTGACAGTCAATGTTGTATATAAATTGTATAGTGACAGTCAATATGTATATAAATTGTATAATGACAGTCTATTTCGTATATATTTTTTATAGTAACAGTCTATTTTGTATAGAGACAGTCTATTGTATACTCCCTCCGTTCCAATTAATGTGAACCTGTTTGACTGGGCACGGAGTTTAAGAAAAAATGAAGACTTTTGGAATTTGTGGTCATAAACAAGTGAAAAAGGGGCCCAGAGTATTTGTATGGTTATAAAAGCTTCTCATTAAGGGTAGAATTATAAGTTTAAGCTAAATTGTTACCAAATTTAGAAAGGGGTCATTCTTTTTGGAACGGACCAAAAAGGAAATAGGTTCACATAAACTGGAACAGAGGGAGTATATTTTATATAGTGACAGTCTATTGTATATTTTTTATATAGTGACAGTCTATTTTGTACATAATTTGAATAGTGACAGTCTATTTTGTATATATTTTGTATTTCGAGTACTTTTATCTATCTAACGCGTATTGACTGTTGTATGATGTATAAAAGTGTATATATATTATTCTTTTACCTTAACCTTATCTATCCAACGTGTATAGACTATTTTTTGTATAGAAATTTATAATTAAGAAGTTGTTGACATTTCTATTAAAACAAAAATCAAAGTACAGTAATAAACAAAAATAATAGGTCCACCTCACAAAAAGATTAAAGTAATTCTATTGAATCACAACTCACAAGAGTATGTTACTCTAATTAGTTTCTTTTTTATTTATTTAAATTTTTTTGCTATTTTTTAGTTTCTATTAAACAAGCATGAATTTCTTTCTGCTAATTGTAAGTGTTAGTAAATTTAAGGAACTCATCATTGGTAATATGAAAAACTGGGTATCAATTTGATGAATATTTAAAGGGTATTTTACACCTTTTAATTTTTATCCATAAAACAGGAGATTGATTTAAAATGGTCCAACTTGACCTTAAAAAGCAAAATGTGACACTTATTCAAATTTAGAGGAATATAAAAACGAAGCCTTTAGAAGAAAACAGAAGAGAGAGAGAGAGAGAGAGAGAGAGATTAAAACTTGCTCATTTCACCGTAAGTTGGTGCTTTTGGTTTTAGTTATATGAAATTTTCATTTCATTTCTCCATTTCTTCAGTTATTAAAAAAAAAACTGATATCGACTTTGAACAGCTTTCAGTTGTCTACTAAATCATGCAAATCAAATGGAGTTAAATAAGAAAATTAATTTTTATTTTAAAAATTTTACAATTTATGGTGGAGAAATAATGAAGAGTAGTAGATCAGAATAGATTAAAAACTCTACTTTGCAACTTGAAGAGGTGATCATACTAGAAATAAGAAGGCTTCAAACTTAATTGAGAAAGTGAGGACTGATATTTATGATGGACAAAGATAGTGAAGTAACAGAGCATCACTAAAAGTAGTGTAGATAGAGAATGAGCAACCTCTCACTAACAAATTCATCGGAAAATTCACATCAAATTCCTCCCAAACCCCCTGACATAAACTCACAAACAAACAAATCATCATCCAATCAAACAAATCAACCTATATCTTCTTCTACCTACAAGGAGAGATTAATTCAAGGAGAATTATTCGCAATTGAACCCCAATCATACCCAGAGCCCTTCTGTACAACAATGAACACCCAACCCTATGAAATTGAAAATACTCCAGTGGAAGCTGTGTGTAAAAATTTGAGGCAAATCATCCTGAGTGAGGATGACAAACAACGAATGTATAATCCATGGAAGTACTCACTAATTATTAAACTCATGGGGAAAAGAGTAGTTCATCACTATCTTAAGAGGAAAACACAAGAGTTATGGAAGGTTGATGAAAATTACCCTCTAATAGACCTAGGGGAGGATTACTATACGGTTAAGTTGATGAAAGAAGAGAGCATGACAAGGATCCTACATAATGGTCCATGGTTCATCAATAAGTGCTTCCTATCAGTACAAAAATGGGTTCCAAACTTTGTAGCAAATAGGGCATCCCAAAACTACACAGCTGTTTGGATTAGATTACCACAACTTCCTACGGAATTTTATGATGGGATCATTCTCACAAAAATTGGGAATTGTATTGGTAAGCTATTGAAAGTGGATGCGTGCACATCAGCCACTTTAAGGGGGAGGTATGCACGACTCTGTGTGGAATTGCCATTGGGCCAGCCGGTCCAAACCTCCATTATGATAGGACACCACAACCAACCAATCCTCTATGAAGGTGAAGGGTTCCTATGCAAGAATTGTGGATGGTTGGGCCACTCAACTTACAGTTGCCCATATAGGACTTTTCCAAGTGGACAACCAAATGGATCAGCCACGAATGAAGCATCAGTATCTAAGGAAGACACATCACAAGAGTGGAAGACAGTCTCCTTTTCAAGGAAAAGCAAAGGCAAGGCAGCCAATCAGCACCTAATGAAGGCAATCTCCACCACTGACACAGGTACCAGTGCACGTTTCTTGGATACAAGGCCAGGTAAGTTCTTAAACTCCCAAGGTATGAATTATACTAACACTCAAGCACAATTGAACTCTACCTCAACCTATACTGGCTCTCCATCAGACAAAGGAAAAGGGGTAAACTCAGAAGCTTCTCATCCCACTAGAAAACCACAATGCAAGAATAATAATGGTTTTTCCAACAAACCACAAGAGTACACTGTTTTGCACAATTCCACTAAACAAAAAATTAAAAATGACAACTATAATCTGCATGTCACTAAAGCCATACTTCCTACAAGTGGCAACAACGTGTCACAACAAACTCCTAATAATAACTACTCAAATCCTTTATCTCACAAAATGAACAAGGTAGTAAATCACCCGTTAATCAACATAAGCAACCAAAACACCATTATTACCCCTAGTACTAGCCATACCGGTGACATAAACACCCAATCAAATGACACTAATAATGCAATACAAGTTACTAACATGCAAAACACCTCCACTGTTTTAAACTCCACCATGCAACCATGGAGGTTGAAGACTGCCAAGTGGATGAAGGCAAATCCATGCAAGATTTGGAAGATTTTCTTATAAACCACACGCAAACAATCCCACATACTACAACCATAGAGCAAATCATTACTAACCCTACTCCTCCAATCGATAGTATCACCCCTATATTACACCAAGCCTCTGAAAATGGCAAGAACACCACTAACATTGAGAAGGAGATATCGCCTAATTCAACTTATCAACCTCTCAAGAAACCAGGCAATGAACAACCTACCACCACTCTCTCCCCAAATCCAACCAAATCCAGTCGTCTATGCTCAACCTCCAAGCCCTCCCAACCATGTACCCCAATCATGGGTGGAACTGGGGCTTCAATGGCATGCCATCTCCTTCAACATGGAGATCAATGGACAGGAGTCCATTCTAATCATACAGAACACACACTTCCTTGCACAACTAATCTCGGAGGGAATGACCCTAGCCATGAACAACTACATAAACTAAATGTGGATGAGCAACATACTACAACCACTAGCACCCTCACTAAATCAAAACCTAGTTCAAAACATGCGGCAGATGTGGAACATACCCCACAACTCCATCCAACAACTACCTCAAAATCCACCAATCAATCTCCCATTCTTTGCTCCGGAGGACCTAATGATGCTGAAACCAATCTTTACGCAATGGACACCACAACAACCTTTGCAAGACCAGCCACTAGGTCCTCAACCAGAGCCAATGGAA